AGCAGTCATGTAAATCACATGCAGTGTGATGCTCTCCAAGGATGAGTCCACCTTTGAGCCATTTAACAAGGATTTTAAAGAAAGACTTCATTTTGTCGTCAAACCCTTAACTGCTTCCATTCTTATTTAAAATCAGTCCAACTATTAGTCTATAGCTATAGTACTAAGTATCATGCATGCAAGTTATTAAAAAAAGAAAACTGAAAGAAAGCCTTTCCCCTGCTTTCATTTTAAATAATAATAATAAAAAAATTAAGGAAAGCTATTCCTAAATCTAGAATGATTTGCAAATGAATATTATGTAACAAATGCCTTAAAGTTAGGATACTACAAGGTTTAAATTCTTATTTCTTTGATTTTGCTTATGCATTCCTTCTCTTATCCTGCAAATCTTGGTTTCTAATGTCATTAACTCAATCCGCTTTTTATATTAGTTTCAAAATAGCAATAGCGATATTATTACTAATAATATTACTAAACTGTTACTAAAACAGTTTACCCTTTTTTTTTTTTTTTGCTTTTTGCTTATTTTTCAGTTTTTCTTATCCTTATGTTATATTCTGCTGGAAATGTACAGTGAAATTGCTCTGTTATAAAGTAACAAAGTAATTTTCTGTGGTGACATGGTGATGTTCATTTGTTTCATTTTGGTTTCATTTATTTAGAAAGTGCTTGGTCTTTCATTATATGTAGTTTTGTTTTATAACTTTACAAAATGTTTACATGACTCCAAAGTCAAATTTACAAAACAAAACAAAGATACTTTAGAAAGAAAGTCTAACTGCTAATCCTCCCTACTCCTGAAATAATAACTTTGTTAATTTTTGGTTTATCTCTACATTTTAAAATATAAACACCTGTGTATATAAATATGTACCTAACCACCTATTTACCTCCTTTCTTTCTTAGATAAAAGATAATAAATTATATATACTTTTATGCACCTTGCCTTTTTTCATCTAACAACAGATCCTAGATATCTTTCCATAGCAATACTTTTCCAATGTCTTTATACAGCTGCATACTGCTCAATTATATGGATAACCATACTTCATTCAATCAGTTGTCTTTGACAGATATTTGGGGTTTTTTTTCCCAGTACTTTGCTATTAGAAATAGAGCAGTAGAGAATACCTTTGTGTGTATGGCATTTTAAGTGTTTAGGATAGGTCTCTAGAAGCCAAAGTACAAATGCAAATGCAATTTTGCTAGATATTTCTAATTTCCCTTCCACTGGTGTATAAAATTTTGCATTACTGCAAGACATATATAAAGGTATCTTTTTTTCCTGCTCAGTGTTCCAGTAGAGTATGCTGTCAAATTTTTGCATTTTTGACAATCTAAAAAAATGAGAAATAATATTTTAGTTGTAGATTTAATATTTCACATTTTGTTTGAGCAATTTAAAAAATATCTTTGTGTGTTTAAGAAAAATTTAAAATTTCCAATCATATATTTAATCTTATTTTTTTCTTTCAATGTCTAAAAATAATATATGTGGTCTTCTTCAGAACATGACAGGAACCTTTGCAAACATTTACTTACCTTTTCCATTCACCCCCTATTCTTCCTCTGTTGAAATCATCTGGAATTTTACTTTCATGCCATTAATAATGTTTTACATCATTTCTCAATACTTTTTTATTGATATTTATAATGCTTTTATATTTGTATCTTTCTCATTTAGTTAATCTCTGAATAACTTTTATAGAGAAGATGTGCAAGTAATCTAATTTCTGAGTCCTTTCATGTCCAAAAATGCCTTTTGGTTGACTTTCATTTGAATCACAGTTTTGCTAGGAAAGAATTCTGGATGCAAAATCAGTCATCCCTTTAGGTGTCCATGATATGATTCATTTGCCTTTTAGCATCCAATAATACCTAAAAAGATGTGCTATCAAAAAAGAAAATTTTATCTATAAAAATATTACTGTATATGCTTATATATTTTTCCTTTTAAACCTTTGCAGTTCTTGGAAACAATTTAGTTAAAATTGTTTTTATGTATATATGTTCACATTGCCTCTTCTGTGAAATAATTTTTCCTTTACTAACTTTCTTTTATGTACTTTATAATTTTTAAATAATTTTTGTGTTTTCATATTTCTCAATCAACACATTTATCAGTTTATTGGAATTTCTTACTTATAAGGGAAGTTTACTAACAATTTCTGTCATTGTAAATGTTTCCCTAGTTTGTTATATACTTTAAATTTTATTATAATTGAAAATCAAGTTTACATTTATATTAAATAAAATGCATTAATCATTTTCTTTTTTATTTTTTGTATTATTTTATTTAGTTAAAACTTTCTTATCTAGAGATGAAATATATATTGACCTTTATTTCATTCTAGATTTCTTTTGCTTTCCATTTTTAAATTCGGATTTTAAATTAATTTTCAGTTTATTTTGATGTTCGGAAAATTTACTTTTACCAACCAATCAACTTTCTCAGCTGAATTTAATGAACACTCTAGTCATCCCCTTTGGTTTACAAAACTTCCTTATCATATATTAATTTCATACATAGATATATGCACATTGTAACATCTATTTCTAGGTTATCTGTTTGGACTAATTAATCTTGTTTTATACCAACTATAATAGTTCTATAATCCAATCTTATGGAACAAGTCCATAAACATCTCATATTATAAGGAAAACATGTTTAAAACTTTCTTAAATGGAACTTCTAGACCTCAGTGGTCATAAGAGGAGATTTCTATTTCAACAGCAGGCATTTAAAACCCAATTGGCTAGGATGTTTATCATTACAATAGTCACAACAGTTAAACTACTATTATAAAAGAATAAAAACAAAAGTAGCCTTTCCTTTTCGGGACATTTGATAGCATCTGGTGGAAGGCCATGTGCATGCAAATGGTCAGTGCCCTTTTATATATACTCTCACATTATTTTCTTTTAAAATAAAGGTATTCATTCATGCTTTTACCCAGAAATATTGACCTCAAACTCAATTATCAATTCTTTATGTGTTATCCACTTGGAAATGAAGCTGTCATTTTCTTTTAGGGGCCATTGGCCTATATAGAGATTGCTGATAAAACCATGGCATTCTGCCTCCAAAACCTGGCAAGGCCAACAGTTTGAGGCATCAAAGCTTACACTTGCAAGGGCTGAGGGAAGGCTGCAGGACACTTGTCATTTGAGTCAAATTCTTCTAGAAAGATAAAATGACTTTAGTAGGAAAGAACTATTGATAAGTGCTACAAGGATGAATCTCAAAGTAATTAGACTGAGTGAAAGAAGCTAGACCACCCAAAAAGTACATACTGTATGATTCTGTTTAAATAAATTTCTAGTAAATGTGAACTGATTTACAGTGACCAAAAAAAAAAAAAAAAATTAATGGAAGGATCAGAGAGAAGCTTGGGGAGGAATATAAAGGGGCTCATGAAACTTAGGGTGATAAATATGTTTATTATTTTGATTTTGAAATTGTACACTGTTAATGTGTGCAGTTTATTGACATTAGTACATATGTAAGTGTGTATGTGTACTCACAATTTTATGAAATCGGAGAAATGGGAGGCAAGAAGAGAGAACAGAAAAAGGAAGAAACAAGGAAGTATTGGAGAGTAAACAAGACAAAGAATCTTCAAGGAATTCCATCAAAACTGTAATACAGCCTATATGGAGATTGAAGTGGTTGGGCTGAGCAGTGCTTTGCAAACCTTAATGTGTACATCCTTCCCCTGCGGATCTTGTTAACGTGCACATTCTGATTTAGTAGGTCTGAGCTGGGGCCTGGGATTCTGCATTTCTGACAAGTTCCCAGGTGGTGCTGATGATGCTGGTCTTTTTAACCAGTCTTTGAGTAGTAAGGGGCTAGAACATTTGTTCTCAATTTTGGTTGTTTATCAGACTCACTGGAGAACTTAAAATATAAATAAATAGATAGATAGATGATAGATAATTAGATAGATAGATGATAGATAGATAGACAGACTTTTTTAAGCCCTGATGCCTTAAATCTAATCTCACTCCCACCCTCTGAGATTCTGATTTAATTGATACAGAGTTCAGCCCAGGAATCAGGAGTCTTTAAATCTACTCAGATGATTCTAATATGCAGCCAAGGTTGATAACTACTGTTTCAGAGAGAACGATAAAAGCCTTATCAGGGAATGAGGAATGGCAGGTATGACTTGGGCCAGAGAAATGTAATGAACCATGCCCACATTCAGGACCCAAACTGACCCTGTTCCAAATATTCAAATTTACCTCACTATAATTTATACCTGTATGGTCCTGCCTGTGTTAAAGATGTTTTTGCTGTTTTCACAACTGCCCTGGGAATAAGTTTTAGGCTAATTACTAAGTAGGCAGATGAGGAGTATGGCCTTCCTAAGATTATAGATAGCCACAGGGAAGAAAAAAGTCTTTGCAATGAAAGGAGCTAACCAGAGAGACTGGTAGGGCACACACTTCCAAAAGCATCCACAAAAAATGCTCATTGAAAGATGGCAATGCCCAGCCTCCCACTTCCTGTCAGTGATGGGCCACAAACCAGGCATGACAGATGATACTGCAACCTTCTAATATGCCATAGAATTGTTTTAAAAATTAATCATTTCATTTTGGCTAGTTTTCTATTAACATTAATAGGTTGAAAATTATTTTTGATTTGCTTTACAGATTTGTATCTGCATCACAGAATTCTGATTCTGAAACTACTGATACACCAGAATCTTAAAATGTTCAATGAGACATGTCAATTTAATTGTGCTGCTTGTAACTTAAAGGGACAGAATTTGTCAGCATTTTGCTGACAAATGTCATCATTTACAGACTGATCTTGGCTACCGATTAGGTTCACCATTGCTAAAATTACATATTAGGAAATGAGCTATCTTTAGTGAGATAAAGGACTTTTTCCTTTTATTTTGTTGATTAAACTGCAGTTTAGGATCAAAACAAACTTCAAATATATAAATTCAGACTGGTTTGATAATGGTCATTTTGTTTAAATTCAGAGGATGCTGTGTACCTGGATGATGATAAAGAAAGAGAAGAATATGTCCTGAATGACATCGGGGTTATTTTTTATGGAGACTTCAATAACATCAAAAGTAGAAGCTGGAGCTATGGTCAGGTGAGCCATTTAAAATTTGTCATTGTCAAGGACATTGTTGATTAATATTTTTTGTCATAAGTTTCACTGCAGGATGCCATATGCCAATATTAGACAAGCACAGTTTCCTGCTTTTCAGGATCTGAGACTCCAAGACAGAGACCCCAGGAGCAGAGACTAGAAAGGCAACTGAATAATTTATCAGCTGAAATCACATATCTTCAGTTATTACAATGTTACAAAGATCAGAGATTCTACTGATAATATGGCCTTGTAGTAAGAAATGCTTTGGCATCTTAGTGCAATGAAATCTCATTAGCTCAGACATTGCTTTGCAACCCGGAATGGACTGAGTTTTCCCTTTCTTATAAGGAAAGGGTGTTTTTATAGAGCTGCAAAGGATACTGCAAGGTGTGCACCCAACTCAAAGAAATAACTTTTTTAAGTGTTAGTATAAGATACTGCTAATTAAAAGAGAGTGTTGCCATTCCGTCAAAGGGGGCCCCACTGAGCTTTTACCTAGGTTTTATTAGCTGCAACCTCAAGTTACTGCCTGGATATAAAGTAGCAAATGGTGTTTCATTTAAGATATTCAATAATTCCAACCATTTCAGTTTGGTAATTTTAACAATGGTGCAAATGAATGATATTTTACTATATTTTCAAAAATGAATGCATGTCCTGTGATTCAGAAACAACTTTGCATTAGCAGCATGAGAGGAGGTAATTGTGTCCTTTTTCAGAGAGTTTTAGCTGAGAAAATTGGAAATGTACACCATTGTTCTGGTACCTAGTGGGGAGAGTTCACAAAAATCTGGCCTCATCAGGTTGCATGATACTTTCTTGGCTTCTTAATATCTTGTTTTGACTTCCATAGAGACACTGCCTGCATCCCTCTCTCCTGTTCCAATCTGACCAATGGGACCTATGTCATCACTAGCTCTTATTTTGTCCACCCGGCTTTGTGGACAAACAAACAGAAACAGATTCATGGTTGTCTCTTGTACCCTTATTCCTGAAAATCGCATGCCCAGTGCTCAGGCTTGCTCACCTGCATTCCTTCCATCCTGTCAAGCTAATTACCTATGTTCTCCTCCCTTGTTTCAGATCCCTGCCTGGCTCCCTGGTTATAAGCTCTCCCCTTCCTGAGTGACTTACAACCCTTGACTATTGTCTATTGTCTAGTACCCTAGCTTTGGGTCCCTGAATCCTAACCTCTAGGTGTGATTCTATTTACGTTCTCAATGTGACAATATATAGAGAGCCAATAAGGATGAAGTCATTAAGGAGGACTAGGAAAGGGTCCCAAGCATTACTGCGGTACTCCTTAGCCAGTTGAGCGTAGCCACTCTCTGTCTCTCTGTCTCTGTCATTCGGTGTTCTTTAATTTGGGTCCTTCAGCATAAAGAAACAGCTAAGCCAGTAGTTTGCAGTGATGCAGAGAAACGACTAGTTCTATGACTATTACTTTTTTCTCGCCAGTTTGCTGCTTTCATGTCCCATAGACACAGCTGAGAGATGCCGCTTAGTAAGAACCAGGGTAATGAGTTCTTTACATTCCGGAACTAGTGCAGTTACCCATTACTGCACCCATCACATAGGTTTAGAGTACATACAGAATTGATATTCTAATTAAATGTAATAAAGAATTACATGATAATTAGCCATTAAGATTGTGGTTTCTGTCACAAGTATTTGTGTGGATAATTGCAAGATTTCTATATTCAGGAAAATCTTTTGTAAAGTGAGATACACTATAGATGAAATCTTCCCATTTTGCAATTTTTATTACTATTTTGTCTTTATTCCTTTTTTGGAAAATACTGGTGTTGCAAATGGCTAGCACTTCTCTCGAAGGAGATTAAACTGACTACAAGGCTGTTGCCTTGATAATATAATCTGCTAATCTGCCATCTCCTGCCCTGTCTTTGACTCTGGAGTCCATCTTCTCTCAAAGAGGGAAAACCTTAGACAGGCATTTACTACTTGAAATCTCCTACTCTTTCCAGTATGTGGTATACAGGCCTAAAGTACCTTCCTGTGATATACCTGAGAGCCATTTATTTTCTGAGCATACAAGGACTCATGATACTTTTGAGGTCTCAAGATTTTGGCCTGACTTTGGTCAATGATTCATTGTTTTGCTTTGGGCACTGGAGCCAATGTGCTGGAGAAATCATCTAAATTAACTTGTAAAATTTTCTCAGGAACTTCAAGTTAGTTCATGATCCTTGAGTATATCAGTTTCCTAGTACTTCTGTTTATATTTTTAGTTTGCTTTTAAATTCTTATTCATTTTACTGAGAAATAAAAGAGGATGTCTCCTTTGTACTAAAGATTATAGGCAATTACTATATGAGAAACACACATGTCTAAACATTAAGTTGTGATTTCATTTTATTTTTGCCAGAAAGTATTTTACTTGTAGAATGGACATTAAGCAGTTTCTCATTTTTTCCCCCCAAATAGTTTGAGGATGGCATCCTGGACGCTTGCCTGTATATGATGGACAGAGCACAAATGGACCTTTCAGGTAGAGGGAATCCCATCAAAGTCAGCCGCGTTGGCTCTGCAATGGTAAGCAACTACTAGTGATTACAAAAATCAAGAACATGTCATTTGCCTCAGTACAGATGCCAGTTCTTTAAAAGCTGTTGAAATTGTGACTTAAACTTAGTAAACTCTTGTTTGTTATACCCTGAAATTTCCTGCTATAAAACAAAGTTCTTAAATCAGTATTGTAGGTTTTGGAGGGGGCTTCAGACAAATGATGACAGATGACATGATACCATAAACCAGTTATTCTTAAGAATCTCTTGCCTAGGGACTGAGGCGTGACCATGACAAAAATGTCATTGACTATAATCAATCCATCAAGCAAACCAACGAACTTCAGGGAGCACCAAAAAGAAAATATGCAAGACATAGCTTTTCTCCATTTTCACAACCACAGTAAGAGTAAAGAAATAAATGACTCTAATTTTAGCTTCTGTTACAATAATACCTCACCATACAGTTGATGAAATGAGTTTTGATTCTTTACAACAATCACATGAGATAAGTAGGGTGGGTATCACTTGTGCCATTTTGCAAGTTAGGAAGCTGTGCGATGACATTGTCAGGGACAAAGCTTCCTTGAGAACCCAGGTCAGCTGACTCCAAATCTAGACATTTTCTACCTTCCATGCTGCTCTTTGTAGGAAACCTTAAAACATCTTTGAGAATACAAAGATCCTGCAATGGAATAACTTACTGGGAGAGGAGATAGAATCCATATAAGTGAGAAGGCTGGGAGGTTTGGCGTGGGAGGTGAATTAAAAGTGATACCCAGGTCCTGTGCAGTCCTGGACTGTATGTACTGTTATACACAGCACGTAGGTCCTGCCCTTTGTGCACAGAAGCATACCAAAACTGACTCATGACCAGAATATTCCTAAAGATACATTAAGCTTGGTGCTATTTCATTCCATCAAAGACTGAACAACAACGAAAAATCCTTATATTACTAATTTCCTTAATTTTTCTTTAAAAAAATTTCTCTTTGTAAGAATTGTGTCTTGTGAGTTTTGTTTGAGCTAAATAAAATCAATCTTTTCCAATTAATCAATATTAAACTGAGAATGATATGAAATGTAATTTCTGGTTATTTTATTAATAACTAAGCTACATGAGAATTTAGAAATAGTAGAGCTTAAAAATAGGAGGTAAAAACTAAAATCAAAAGTCGGTTTTGTTTCCTGTTGTTAATTTGCATTGCATAACGAAAAGACAATTCTAAAGAATTGAGAAATTTCTTTATAGAAATTTCTTTATAACAACACATATTAAACTGGCAGTCCATCACTATTCTTCCTGTTTCACCGACAACATTCCCCTTTTCCTTTTTCTTTTAACATCACCATGACAGGTTTGCAGTGAGAAAGGAAGTGATAGCTAGCGGTGGCTGAATATAAATTAATTCCTTCTTAAGCATTATAAAATGGCATGCTCATCAGCCTAAGCTTGCTCACACATGGTGTTTTCACTAATCTAGAAATCACTGCCTAACACAAGCCAAAGCAAGAGAGAAGCAAACATGAAGCAGCTAACCCAATACTTTCTGTAGTGGCATCTGACCAAGGAGAAGCTATTAAACCTTGAATTAAGCACATAATCGTAATGAAAATTGCTTTGAAATCTTATTAATTAAAAAAAGCCTATAAAGTTCGGTTTTGAAAATCTATAACCCAATTACAAGATTTAGAACAAGACAGAATTTATTTGGGGGGTGGGGTGGCTTGGTTTGGTTTGGTTTTATTTTTGGAAGGGGAGGCTTTAGGTGTTAGGGGCAGAAGCCCCACACTGGACCATTTCAGGGCAATATCTCTATTTTCACCACCACTTGTTTACATATACAAAATACATGATTGACAGTTTTCAAAACCCTTTCACAACTATTATCTCCTTTAATCCTTAAAAGAGCTCTGCAAATGCTTCCAAAATCTACTGTTTTAACGATTTAAGAAACTAAGATATTAAGCCTCCAAAAATCAATAAAAAAAGATGGCACCTTCAAAAAAATTTAACTGTTTTCTGGTCATTCAGGCACTTCCTCTCTTGTTCACAAATTCTGGAAACCTATCATGAATTGCTGAGTGAAGTTAAGCAAAGATGAAAACAAAACAAAACAAAAACCATCAAATTCTCAATTAAAGATTTACCTCAGAATATAAGATATATTTAGAGAGCCCAGAAAGAAAGTTTTCCAAAGTTGCGAGTGTAGCCAGAACCCTGACTCTGAGACAGGGTGGGCCAGCATACGGGTTCTCAGGGGGCTGTCTCAGTCCACTGGAAGAACAGAGGCCATTGCAGGTTGTTTGGGGAATTCTTTTCAAACGTCTCCCCAGTCTGGTTATTAAGGCTGGAAAATCCCTTCACAGAATACAAGAACTGAAACAGAGATACATCGTGACACATAAACTTTCTGGGGAGGATAAGACACTTAAGTTCAATTCATGCCAAGGTAAAAGTGATGAGAGGCAGAAATTTCCTGGGAGCAACTGTCAC